GGGGACGGACGGCGGGGTGAAGACAGAGTAGCAGCCCCGGCCGGGCGCCCTTGTAAGAGCCCGGAGGCAAGGCGGGCTGCAGATCCCCAATCCAGGCAAAAATCAGTGCCGGGTTTGGAGGCATCTTTGGCCGCCCGGCATCTGCGGGGTGGACGAAATGTCTCCATCCTTCACAGGCGGGAGCCCAGCACCCCACCCTGCCTATATGTCAGCAGGCAGCCTGCTGTTCTCTAGCCACCCACCCACCCACCTTCCGGCGCCCGGAGGCAAGGCGGGCTGCAGATCCCCAATCCAGGCAAAAATCAGTGCCGGGTTTGGAGGCATCTTTGGCCGCCCGGCATCTGCGGGGTGGACGAAATGTCTCCATCCTTCACAGGCGGGAGCCCAGCACCCCACCCTGCCTATATGTCAGCAGGCAGCCTGCTGTTCTCTAGCCACCCACCCACCCACCTTCCGGCCTCCAATCCCTTTTGATCTTTAATGGGGGGGGGGAGAGAGAAACACAGCCACCCGACTTTGCACATCTTTTTCTCCCCTCCGCAGATCTCCGGCATTGATCTTCTTTTCACCTTGCTGGCTGTATGCTCTCTGCACCCTCCGGGGAGAGAACTGATTTGTCATAGACGAGGGAGATGCGGGAGGGGGGCGGGCGGGAAGGAAGGGGAAGCGCCGGTTTCCCTGCCCAACTTAATAGCCACCCTCGCTGCTGCTGACCCGGATATGTCAGGGACGCGCCGCTATGGAAGGGCGGCTCAGCAAGGAAAATTACCGCGCCAGGGCAATTTGAGTAAAGAGCTTCTGGCTTATTTTTGGCTAGAGCTTCCCAAAATTATCTTGCATTCTTCATTGGTGTATGGAAGTGTCATACACCATTATCGCTTATCATCATCATTATGATTAATGGATTCTTGGAGGTTCAATGAAGAAGAAGCAGGAAAGGACTTGTATTAATATTTTTCATAAGGTGACATTGCAGGGTCAAAATTTGAATTCATTTCCAGGAGTCATCTGAGACTTTGATTTGCATGTTCCCCCGTGATTTGTATCAGCAAACCGTATGAGTGAATAAAGGCCCAGTCTGAAGCACTTTAAAGACCGGTTGAGTTCGGTGGAAAGGACACTGCCCCATCAAAAGCCCTTAACTTTGGCTCAGTCATGCCCAGATCATCCTCAAAACATGCTAGCAGCAAATCTGTGAGTGCACATGGCCATGGAGTCTGCCTGTCTAGCATGAAATTCTTATTTTTAATGTACTATTATATACCCCCCTCCTTCCATAGCCCAGGGTGATGAATAGGGGGATAACTATCAGGTCCTAAAAATAAAAATGAGACCTACATAACCACTGCACATTTATTACTTCTACATCCAGCTGTTCCTGATCAGCTTTTAGGATACTACCAGCAATTGTCCTGGGTGAAACCTGCTGAACAGTAGTATGAACATTGCATGATTTATCCTCAAATTAAATTTATCTAGGCCCATTAGCATGCTTCTGGAGAGAATCTTCAAAGATAGGAAGTTACTGGGAAGCTAAGACAGATCTTCATGGGCATCAAGAAACATAAATACTACTTTTAATTAATTTAACTACCAACATTTGTAACAGAAAGGGGTACATGTGTATAAATTTCAGCTGATTTATTTCAATATAAGTTTTTATAACAAGCTATTTCTTCAAAGACATGGAGTACAGTATTGACACCACAGGTTTATATATAGTACATACCGTATATGGTTGTTGAAATAGGGACCAAGAGAAATTGGATGCAAAAAGTGACTTAAATAGCACTTGTAATGAATTTTCTAAGTGTTGATTACAGAACAGAACAACAACAGAAAGAGTAACTGGGTAACGCAAAACATCTGTCTGCTAATCCACAATAGTTATGCTTTAATCTTTTATGTACCTAAAAAAAGGAGTTTTGATCTAGGGGAAAAAACAATTTTGCTGAGATCACATTTTTTGCCAACAGTGTATTTAGCTCTAATGAACAAAAGCTGTGATGGCCATTTTGGCACAAAATACATTCAAAACTCCATATTGAGATGATACCTTCCTAGCTCAACCAAAAAGGCAAAATAATTTTTAAAAGTGTGCACAGGCATACAACAGCATGCAGTCATTTGGGACCATTTGTTTCCAAATGCTTATGTGTTTCTGTGTTCCTCTAAACATTTTAGCTCTAACAAGTCCTTTGGCTCTGCCAATACAGGCTCAGTCCGGAGAACATGGTACTCACTCCACACGTTAGTTCATTAAATTTTTTTCAGGTCTATATTATATTTTACTTCTTCAACCACATAAAAAAATCTCTCTGTAAACATTTGATGTTATTTCTGAGTACACTATTAGTATTCATTGTTACTGAGTCAAACTATTATAACCCAATTTGATGCATATTTATTTTTATGTCCCAGTGACAATTACATTTACAGACAGCAAGGACAAATAGTGGTCCTCCAGATATGTCTGGAATCTAATTCTCATCTTGCTCATCATCAGCTGAGCTGCAGGGAGTTGCAGTTCAACAACATGTTCAAAACCACAGCTTTAAACAAAATCTAAACACAAGTATCCATAGGAATATAGTTAAATTTACTAGCATGGTGCTATCTGCTTTAGCATCAGTTTTTTATGTCATCCAGTTCTCCTGTCCGATACCTTAATTACTGATCATATACAAAGTTGTGTATTTAATTTTTGGATTACAAGCATTTTCCTGGCAGGAAAATTCTAGGAGTTGTGATCCCAAAAAGTAACTTTTTCAAACTCCAGATATACAAGAGGTTGAATCCTGTACCTACTGCTTTTAAAGCATGTACTGTGATTCAAATGAATTCAAGCTTGTTACTGTTTTTCTCCACAAATTGCACTCCTTTTTCTTTTCCAAGATTGTCATCTTGGTTTCCAAGTCTCACAAGAGCACAAAATTTATCGTGGGATTAACTATGAAGAGAGACATAAATACAAGTTTCATTAATATTCACAGTAGGGTGGAGTTGATTTACATAAAATCGGTTTAAATCACAATTTATTTAAATCAGTTTGATTTAGAAGAATCATTGATTTTTATCCATGCTGATTCACTACTGATTTCTAGTTGTAAAATCCCTAAATTTTATACTTGCAGAATCTGAGAACCATTTAGCACAAACTTCGGTTTGGCTAAGAACAGCTTTTGCCAAAGTCCTCCTCAGGTCTGTTAGATTATAGCTCCCACCATTAGCCATATAGGGGACAATAGGAACTGTTTTCTGTGTGAAGTGCTTTGGCCAGCTAAAAAAAAAAGTTCTGTATAAATGTTTCTTGCATTTTTAACCCAGGGTACTGGTTTGAAGAAAGCTGGCCATTTGGCCTTAATGAAATCTAACAATCTGGCTTTTCTTTCCTCTTTTTTTTTTTCTTTTCAGGATTTTGGAAAGTAATGCAACAGAACGCTTTTGAAGAAAGCAGATACCCATGGCAGGAGTCATTTGAAAATGTCAGTGTCTGCATGCCCTTCCGTTGCCCACGATGCGGAGACCACACCCGATTCCGGACCTTGTCGTCTTTGAGAGCCCATCTGGAATTCAGCCACAGTTACGAAGACAGAAGCCTTCTGACAAAATGCAACCTTTTCTCTTCCCTCAAAGACGCAGACTTGATTTCCTCCTCAGAGCCTCTGATGCTGGGGGACAGCCCCAATGTCCTGAAACCAAAGACATCCTACCTAAACTTCTGTGATGCGGCGAGAGAGAATGCGAAGAATAGGAAGCCCTTGGAGGTGGAAGCTGAACGGCCCGCATCTTACGGGTCAACTTACACCTCTGGAGAGTCCACCGATGAACCCATTTCGAAACCAGGGTTGGCAGCCACAGACTCCAAAGCCTCCTTCGAGGCCCACGTGAGAGAGAAGTTTAACAGGATGGTGGAAGCAGTAGACAAAACGATAGAAAAGAGGATCGACAAGTTGACCAAAGAGCTGGCCCAAAAGACTGCCGAGCTCTTGGAGGTTCGGGCAGCTTTCGTGCAGCTTTCACAGAAGAAGCAGGAAGTGCAGAGGCGGGAGAGGGCTCTTAACAGGCAGGTGGACGTTGCTGTTGAGATGATTGCGGTGCTGAAGCAGCGGCTTACGGAGTCTGAGGAGGAGCTCCACAGGAAGGAAGAGTAAGTGGAAGGATGGGAGGCAAGGCCATGGTAGCCTTCCTCTATTAAGCAACAGTGTCTAGCGTGGTAGGACAGAAACATCAAGTCTCATGGTATATATCAGCCTTCCCCATCCTGGTGCCTTGTATATGTGTGGTTAATTTTTAATAAATGGGACTATAGCTCCCATCCTCCCTACCCAACATGATTACTCACCCTTGTGACTCACAGTGCAGCATACTTGAAAGGCACTTGGTGGGGGAAACCCAGCACTACTCCTGGTCACTCCAGCAGCGTATTGTTTTCTGTGTTCAGCTCATCAGAGTGGATATAGGGCAGCATTTGCATGCAAGCATGTGGCTTGCCTCAGAGTGACTCCTATTTTGGGACCTGCAGCACACTTTCTGACACAGGACTAGCATTCTCTGGTCTAATAAAACCATCTCATATTAATAGAGAGAGCCAGAGAGATGCTGAGATACAGTCACTACTTTTCGTATCATCACACAGATTCCAAACAGAACTTGGTTTCCTGAAAAGCCTTGGCTTTCCATTCACAGGAAATCATGTTTCTAGTTCTCAAGAGTACACAGAGAAAAATAATAATAATGCGTATATCATCACCTACTGAAAATTCCCAAACCTTCCTGTTTCTCCCCAGTATCTTCTGTCCTGTATTGCCTTTTCACTATTGCCTTTCCCCCTTCTCCCCTTTCTATAGTCCATATCTTGCATTCATCGTGCCTTTTAGAAACATATTGAAAACTGCAACATATTTCAGGAGGGCTCAAATCACACAGCTGAACTCGGGATGGGCACTGGACCATCATATAAGGACAGGGAGGTCATTGGGCCTTCCCATGTATCTTGGTGGGTCACACCCCAACCCCTGCTATTTTTTTTCTTTGTTACACAAAGAATGGCAAAAAGTGTCAATAGAGGCCTCAGAGGGAATTGTAAAATGACAGGGTGTACACTGCGGGAGCCCTTCCCCATATCCAAGGAATGTTTCATGAAATAGGAGGGAACAAGGCCATGTCTATGAGGATGGTGCTCCGTGAATGAATCAGAGCCTATCAGGGCTGTGGATCATAGCCAGTTTTTTATTCACAGGACTTGGCTAAGCAGCAATGGGGATTTTTTCATTATGGTGAGGGCTGTATTCCTTCAAAAGTAATCTCTTTGGGGCCACATGGCTACAGTACGTAGCCAGAACCACCTCTACCTCTCAAGATTTTTGCAGTCCCAAAACTGTTTCTCTTTGAGTCTTTCTCTGTGAGAATATTGAGAGAGAAAGATAGAAACCATGTGGGGGTGGTGGTTATTTTATGAAAGAGGGGGAGAGAGGGGGTGGTGATGAGAGAGAAAGTGTTGATGATTTTAACCAAACTGTTGAAAACTTTTTTCAAAAATTGAATTGAGTTAAACTCCCACCCTGGCTCCACAACCAGAAACCTGACTGACTGAACTATCCAGCCTGCTTATATTGGCTAAAATTCTGTTTCACCGATCTACATTCAAGTAACAACAGCAGAAAGTCACAGCTGATTTAAAGCAAATTCTTGCTGATTGAGGGTGATTTTGGGATACACGCAACTCACACCCAATATGATAAAACCGCATGAACCCTGAAATCCTTAAAGGAAGCCTTTAATCAATACAAATTTGCCACTTCCAATGACATTATCACCATTGTACACATAGAATTGTACAACAGGATTTCAGCCATTGTATTCATATTTTTTTTTTAAAAAAATAGATTGGATTGGTATCCCAATTTTATGGAGTTCCATAGGTTTCTGCATAGATTATTTAGGTTAATCTTTCTGTCTCCCATAATACCCAATCTAGCAAATACGTATGGTGAAAAAAAATCGCAGTTCTCAAACTGGGGTTGTGTCTCCAGAATTACGTGCTTTATTAGCAGCAATATGTGGTGATGAGAAATAACATACCTGATCAGCCTCATTTTCCAACTCTGACAGAAATTATTCCTGCAGCTTTTCTACCCTCCCTCTTTCAACATAACACAATATTAGCAGCCCATGGAAGACGAATTGAAATCTCCAGGACTGTTTTTGATAGTTTCTTTGAGTTGTACTTATTCCTTTAGTCACCAAAATTTAGTGTAGCAGCACTAGCTGTTGTCCCACTGCAACGGTGCACATAAAAAGTAAAGCCCTTCTTTCTTGCTGAAAAGATACACCTATAGACACTGGACATATAAGTTAATAGGATATTGTTGGAGATATAATCAATTTGAGCAAGGAGATTACAAAAAAAATTACTAAAGGTTATAGGAAGCAACAGTGCTCTTTTGGGGAGAAAGAAAATCACAGAATTATATCAGGTGTTGCTAAGTAGTGTTTTAAAATATATTAAACTATGATTTAAATCAATTTCATTTCAATCAAATACTTCCAGATAAAAATTATAAAATTTAAAAAGCCAAATTAAAAACATGTGTTCTGATCCCTGCTAAACACACAGAATAAGGACTAGAAACACCTCCAGGAAAGGGATGTACCATATTTTTCCATGTATAAGACTATACTTTTGTCTAAAACCTTTAGACTGAAAATTGAGGGTCATCTTATACACGGAAGGAAGCTGAGGAGAGAACAAAAACAAGTGGAGGGGAAAGCAGGAATCAAAGTGATCCTGCAGCACTTTGATCCCTTTCCCCCTACATTTGATAAGCCCCACTTAGATTTCTTAATTTTGGATTAGATAATTGGGGGGGGGCGTCTTATACACAGAAAAATATGGTAAATCCTGGCCTATTTCAACCTTGCATGGCAAATACGTTCAGGCAAAAAAAGTCTCCTGTGTGCAAGAAAGCACATGTCAGAAAATGTGCATCATTGGAAAATGCAATAAGAGTAACCATCTTGAATGAAGCATCGAAGGGAGTGGATTCAAGGGGTTCGGTTCTGTTATTTTTCAATTACAGTGGACCCTTGACTTACAGACGGCTTGACTTACAGACTTTTTGAGTTACAGACTTCTCTGGCTGCAAAATTTAGGTTTGACTTGCAGACTGAGATTTGACTTACAGACCAGAAAAAAACCAAAATGGAACAAAAACAGCCTGTTACGGGATTAATCGGTTTTCAGTGCACTGTAGGTCAATGGAGACTTGACTTACAGACCTTTTGACTTGAGAACCGCCTTCCAATACGGATTAAGTTCTCAAGTCAAGACCCCACTGTACTGTGACAAGGGGTTGAGAATGTTTTCCTGGCAAGAAAATAGAAGTTTATGAGAGTCCCCCCCCCCACTCCCTGCCATTCCAGCTCCAAGGAACGTGTGTTCCAAAGTTTGGGACTGACAGAACACTTCGTTGTGAATCCTCTGCAAGTTGCCAAGGTGCCATCAAAAAGTATCTTCTTGTGGTGTTAATAAAATGGAGAGGTTTATCTTGAGATAGCTGGGCCTTTGATCTTTGGGAGCTTAATTGAGGTAGCCCAGAAAACTATTGGCGGTTAGTAGAGATCTTTTGGGATTTAGGATAATGTGATCATGATGCTACATTCCAGTTAAGCAGGTGCCTGTCACGTTTAGTACATGGAAGGAAAGAAAATGCCAGAGGCACCACAGGCTGCACCAGAATACAGGGTTCTCTACCTGTGGATTTTACCACTATCTTGTCATTGGTAATTCCACCTCCCACCATTTACATCTGTTTTTTTCCCCCTCATAAAGCAAAGTGAGATTAACATCAGGACGTCTGCCATTTCTGCCTAGGTACACAGATCCTTTTACCATAGTGAAGAAGAAGGCATGAATCAGAATGTACAAATTCAGTTCCTGGCATAGGCCAGAATCCTGTTGGTGTCTGCAGATTGTGTCACAACTAATTGTAACTAATTATCAAGATGCCAGGATGCAGCTTGATTGTCTTATTAGGCATATGCACCCAAGACATATCCAGGCACCTTATCAATCAGCTGTGGTTAGCTGAGGCAAGTTACACAAACCTTACACAAACACCAATAAGATTCTGGCCATTGTCTGAAAGATTCATATTTGTTAGCTGCACGTTTTTAACAAACCTTTTAATAAGGGCAAGGCTTCTGTGCTCTAAAGGCTTAGGGTCTAAACTCCATCTTGCTGGGTTTGGCTTCTGGACTGGAGGTAACAATGCAAAAGCTGTGTTTCCAAGCCTCCTCTCCACCAGTTCAGCAGTGAGTTGCAAATGAAATGTTACGCTAGGAAAGAATCATAACTTGTTTTCCTACTGGCATCCATAATGGATTCCAAAATCATCTTGGCAGTTCCAGCTCATCTAAAAATACTTTCATGTTGTATTCATTAAAAATGTAGTAATTGCTGATACATTATTTATATGTGAACTACTTAAAGCTGCAATCCTCCGACTGCCCACTCCCTGACACTCTTGTTGACACAAGATAAAGGAATCTGGAGCAAATGGCTTAAAGACTGTGGCCCTATACTAGTTAATATTCTCAGACCATGCACAGGCAGTTCACAGTACCTCGAGGTGTTTTAGGTAGATGAATGATGTTGCTGTTATTGGGGAAAAAAATGACAAGTATGCTAGATCTGAAGTTTAGGGCAATAATCTAAACAGCCTTAACTGGAGATGCTCCCACTAAATTTAGTGAGACTTACCTTCAAGTGAACAGGGCCAAGGATTGGCTGTAAGTGTTGCAGCAATGAGAGTAAGCCATGTATCATCAGAGGGAAAATTGTGGCTCTCTAGATACTGTTCGATGGCAGTATCCAGTTTTCTTGACCCTTAGCTGTGCTGCTCAGAGTTAAGTAAGGGAAGTTGCAGTGTGACAATACCTGGAGACAGGGCTTTCTTTTCGCCATCTCTGGGACAAGTCACACCCACTCCAAACCAACAAATAATCTTACACCACGTGTCTGCTTCTACAAAGTGCAAATACCAGACACAGTACTTACAGTATACACAAGAAGCAGGAGAGTGGTAGGAAGAAGTAACAACAGAATTTCTTCAAAGTTTGTGTATCTGTCACAAGGCTTACTAGTTCCCCTGCCTTCCCAAAGGAATATTGTATGCATTTGTATGTTTAAAAAACTGTGGCTGAAAGGGCTGAAAGCAGAATATAATTTCTTTTCCAGGGACAAAAAATGTATGTCCCCTTTTGGGTGTCAAGGAGCAAATCTCACCCATGCCAGATGCTGAAAGAGATATTTACAACACCACTGCAATATTTTGAAATAGTGAAAGAATCTCTTTGGTAGACTCTTGTGTAAGGGCTTGTGTGTACGTGCAGATACATGCATTGAGGTTTGGTGCTAAAGAGAGTTCCAGGTATTTGAGCTCTATTTGGGGAGCAACTGGATACCATTCTAGCTGCCATGATATAAATCAGTATTCATGTAGCATCATCTGAAAGAGGATAAATAAATTGATGCAGATTCAGGGGGAAAATTTGGCAATGCCATATGTGAGGCTGCAATCCTCTATATACTTTACCTGGGAGGGAGGCCCATTAAACTGGCTGGGACCAACTTCTGCATAGGAATATACAGAATTGCACAGTTAGGACAGTAGTTTTTGTTGCACCATATTTTATTAATTTCTTCCTTCCCCAGGTTTAATTTTCCCCTCTCCCCGGATGACATCCATGTAGACTGCAATTCTACACAAAAATATTCATTAGTATGACTTCTACCACACTCTGGCCAACCTAATTTTTATCATTTCCAAGTTCTCATCCTGTTTCAAATGTGCCTCTGTTGATGACCGTTATGATGACATTTATTTGGAATTGAACAAAAAGCAGCACTTGGAATTGTTGTTTTTTAAAGAAAGGGGGTGGTAAGATATCATTTGTTATGGTTGCTTTTCTAGGACTTATTATTTGTGAGTAATGAGCAACATAACTTGGTTTTGACACATTATTTTCAGTGCCATTTATTCATCAACAAAAATGGCCTCAAACCTACAAAAAACAAAACACACAGCGAGAAAATTCTCTCTCTCTCATACACACACACACACACACACGCAAAATCCTCCAAAAGCAACATTTCTGAAATTACAAATTTATGTTACTCATGCAAAAATTCAAACGTCAATGTTAAAACATTGTTAAGGTGGCCACTTTTCATCTCCAGACTCTCTGTAAAAGGAACTGTTTTTAATACTGACCTGCACAAGAAAAAGAAGTCAAGGTGTTTCTTTTCTGAAGGAACGTTGTGGACATCTAAAGCCAAGCAAATTGTGTACTGCGAACATTATTGATTCCCTTTGGCTTTTGGTTACCTTCCTTGTTCTTGCCAAGCACTGCGCCGGGGTTTAGAGGTTGCATTCTGGAAAAGAAATCCATTGAGAATTCAATAGCAAGTCCTTGTTGGCCAATTATGATGTCCCAGAATGCATTACAGACTCAGGCTGGAGCCAAGTTCTTGTGCTGTTTGTGGTTTAAGGAGAGGAGAGGGAAAAGGGAGATGTAATCCCTCTTTTTCCTGACATCTTAAAGAGTGCAGTACTGTATAGGTGAGACAGAAATGTAGGAAAAAAGCCAACATGTGGTAGATATTGAGAGCAAGTGAAACAGTGTATATGTACCAGCAGTGTAAGAATGTGCCTTATAAATTGTTGATAAAATGTGGCTTATAAATTGTTGATAAAATATGCATCTGTACTTTGAGAAGCACTTTGCTCAAAATGAAAGAGAAGAAGAGGTAGGAGTGAGGGGAGAGCAAGGGCCACGCGTGGAGGTTGGTTCCTGCATTCATACGTGGCGTAGTTGCCTTTGAGCCATTGGTATGTTTCTTAGGTATAGGTTTGCCTTGTGAAGCTTGTAAGATATCCATGTTAAACCATACACGTTAGTACCATATTTGTGTGTTTTGCTGCTATAAACAAAAAAGGGCCGGTTAAACTTCATTTTTCTATATAGTATTGGAAAGATTAATATTGTGTGATAAAAATACTGTAGTTTTACAGCTCTTTAAGCATGCAGTAGATTATCATGCAAAAGCAAGCAAGTACAGTATATGCCCTCATGATATCTGGATTCCCATCGGGCTTATGGCATCATCCTCAAAGAAGCATCATCAAGAAGACCCGGGCTATGTAGCCCACTATCCTTCCCCACTGGGATTTTATAGTCATTCTGGGACCTGCAAGAACTTGGCAGAAATTAAAGGAAAACAACTCTCCCTCTTTAACAAGGGTGGAGGGGTTATAGGACAAAGTGAACAAACTTTTTCTCTGATCAGGTCAGCATAATCAGGATGTTATCGTGATATCTTTCCATCATCATAGCTTGTCTCCATAAACTACTATTCATGAAATACTGTAGTTCATAGACATGTTCTTCCAACAGCAGATTTTGCATTTATGGCAATATCTATAGTGGGCAATCCTTTCTAATGCTTAGGCTACAGAGGTTTCTGACCAAGTTATTTGCGTGAAAACTGCCCATTTTTCTTGTGGGAAATGTTCAGGTTTATTCTCACAATGAAGTAAAATCTATTTAAATTAATAGTGTTACAGCAGAAGGCAGCTGGGCTGTATAAACTAAAGTAGGATTTTTAAATTCTTTCTAAATGTGATGCCAATCTCATATTTTATTTATTTGTTTAATCAGTCCGTCAATTAAGCTATACACTGCCCATCTAGCAAACTGCTACTCTGGCCAGTGTACAACATAAATTTTTTAAAAAAGTATATAAAACATAAATGATATAAAAATTATTAATGACAACTACATTTACCTAACAAGTATCACTGAACTTAGTGTGGTTTACTTCCGAGTAGACAGAAGTAGGATTAATTGCACTCTGAATAAAACCACCCATACATATTACTCAGTTTTGGGGGGGGGGGAGCCCTAACTGATCAACAGTTTGTCAAGTTGTTCTTCCAAAAGGGTAAAACAGCCATCGTGCCACTGAGCAACTTATTTTCCCTTCTGCAGGACAATTTCCTTCATGAGTGCCTTATGAAGGGAAGATGAATCAGTTCTGCTTGCCTTTTTGGTTATATATATACTTTTTGGTTATATATATGAGTATACAGGTATACTCATGTGTGAGATGGAGTACTAACCTTGCCAGGACCATATATATATATATGGTCCTGGCAAGGTTAGTACTCCATCCCACACATGAGTATACCTGTAGTGGAGGCAAAAAATATTTGCAGTTTTAAAGCTAGCACATCATCCATACCACAAGGAAACACCATTGTTCTTTACAATGACAATTACAACTAAAGTGGTTCTTTCTTTCTTTCTTTCTTTCTTTCTTTCTTTCTTTCTTTCTTTCTTTCTTTCTTTCTTTCTTTCTTTCTTTCTTTCTTTCTTTCTTTCTTGTCATGGCAGAGAAGTATTTACATTTAATCACTTCCTGGAGGAGGCTGCTGAGAAAGAGGTTCGGGGTAAGGCAAGACTCCAGCACTTCATTGAGAATCTGCTGCAGCGGGTTGATCTGGCAGAAAAGCAGTTGGAATATTATCAGAATCAGCAAACCATGGACAACTACAGTGATGTCCATGAGCACATGGTAAGGAGGAAATGACCATTTTGCTACTTTGTCCCTCCACTGTAGCAGGAAAGCATAAGCAGTATTTTGACATGATCGTATGTAATCAGAATGAATACAATTTGCTCTGCATACTGCATTTTAATTTTAATATTTTGGTAACATGTTATATTTTATTTAGCCATTCCCAAATGATGTTCTCCACATGTGTGTTGGACTGGAGTTGGCATCATTCTTATCCAGCACGGACGTATTGGCGAGGAATATGAACACCATAGTACAGCACATCTGGAGGATGCTGGCAAAGTTTGCTCTAAACCTCAGAGCCACATAATCAGTAGTTGCTATGAATAGTTGCTGATACATTTCATAATAAGAGGATTGCTGAGGGTCAGACAATTTGTTACCAAAGACCCATAATTACAAGCTGAAATCTTAGCATTTCAGAGATCAGGTAGACATTTGCAGTTGAGTAATGTACTTGGAAATGAAGTTACTCTGAGGGAAACCACCTAATGATTTTTCACAAAGTGGAGCAGGCCAATTTGTAAACTATAGAAGGTGTGGGAAGTTTCTGATGTGACAAACATTCTCAGCCTCTAAGAAATTTCTCCTCTAATCATGGAACTGTCAGGCATAGTTTGGCCCTCAAGTTGTGAAGGTGTATCCAGCGCAATCCTCTCTGTGTGGTTTATGGGAGGTGGTGAAGCCTGTTGTATATCAGCCAGTGCTCTCCTGTTTTGGTCTCTATGAGCTTTTAACTGTCCTTCAAACAGAGGACTCCCCTTGGTTGAGTACCATATACAGCTATCTTATGCTAACAGTCCTTCAGATAACTTTATCCCAAACACAAGGTTAAACACAAGCATTCTAGGATGTGCCTAGAAGTGTGCTATGAGTTATGCTCCATCAGGTCAGAACCAACTTGCAGTAGCCCTAATAGGGCTTTCAAAGCAAGTGAGATATTTAAGAAGTGATTTTACCATTCTGATCACTCCTCCAGTGGCTAGGCAGGGATTTGCACTGGTCCCTCACTAGTTCCATTACACTGCATTCTGTATAGAAACACAATAACATTAATAAAAATTGTGTGTTGTCAAGTTGATTCTGACTTATGGCGACCCTTTTCAGGGTTTTTTATGGAGAGAGTACTCAAAAGTGGCTTACCGCTCCCTTCTTCTGGGGGCACTCTGGGACTCTACAGCTTGCCCATGCCTACACACTCTGGATCTTCTCCCAGAATCACAGTGGGAAAGTGAAGTCCCAACCTCTGGCTCCACAGCCACAAACATAAACCTCTGAACTATCCAGCCATACTGGTTAATTATTTTATTGTTTCACTGATTAAGTGCTGTTTTTCTAAGTAAAATTAAATCTTTATTATTCATTGGGGGGAATCTAAATCCATGCTTGCTCAGGCAGGAGCTGTATTAGGACTTCTTATATGTTTCTCTTGGTACCATTCTGCGGAGAAAGATAGCTGAAAAAGATTAGAAAGTGAATACATACGTTTGGCCCTGCCTGGCCATGGAAATTCTGACCAGATAGGTGGGGTACAAATAGAATGAATGAATGAATGAATGAATGAATGAATAAATAAATAAATAAATAAATAAATAAATAAATAAATTCATTAGGGGGCTGGGGCTGGGATTGGTAAAATCACCCCTTAATAGCAGGTAATATAGCAGCTGTTAGGGGCCCTGCCCCATTTTTCCTCTGGCCATTTCTGACTCCATCCCTCACTTATGGTAAGTCTCGTGCACTCTTGGGTGTGTGGCCCACCAGATGGGGGGTAATGTAGACAAATAAACTGAGGGAAAGGTAGATGGGAGGAACTATTGCTTTTGGCCAAATTATTCATCACAAATAGAAGTGGAAATTAGTGTTCAAGAGATATAACGCAACAGAACTTTGTCTGTGAAAAATTGGACTTGGATACAAAACTCATCACCCTGATGCCCAATAACCAAACAAAGCAAGCTAATTTACACGTTACAATAGATGTGAAAAGCTTTTACAATAACAATCAAATGCTTTCAGCGCTCAAGGAATTCCCATTTCTAATGATACGTCCTGAGTCTTCAGTCTGTCAAATAATTTAAAGATAATGGTTGTTGTGGGTTTTTCGGGCTCTTTGGCCATGTTCAACCATTAGATCCCGGCTGTGAAAGCCTTCGCATATATAATTTAAAGATAGGTTGCAGCCTGCCAATCCTAGACTGAGCTACCGATGCCTGAGTATGCATACGTTCACTTTTGCTGTGCCAAAAGAACATGAGAAAGGTTGTGCTGGATCAGACTAAAGTTTTATCAAACCCAGCTTACCACTGTAAGCAGTCAGCTGGTGATGGGAAGCCCAAAAACAGAACATGAGGGCAGTAGCTGCCTTCTGATTTTGTACTCCTATAACTGGTGTTTGGGGTTACCGTGCATGTATTTTACTAGTCCTCTTTTAAAGTCATCTAAACTCCCATCATGGTTCCTGATTAAAAGGTTTTGCAGATTTAAGTAATATTTATATGCAAACAAAATCTATTTAATTGGAGGTAACAGCAGGATTGAAAATGAACATGTGCACCTGTAGGCAATGCTACCTTTTAAAAAAAATCATATAGTCTTATAGTCTCAGCAAGAGAAGAATGATTACTAGTTCACAGCTTGATTTCATCTGAAGCATCTGATACCCATATTAAAAGTAAGGTAGCAATAAACAAGGATAAGTAAAGAAATGTGATAATTGAGGATGCATCAATGTTCCACTTGGTATAACAGTGCTCCAAATGAGCCATGACTCATAATTCGTCCAGGAGATGTAAAATAGCAAATGAAAAACATAGTGGTGGTAAATGCCCTGGAGACTTTTATTTAAAATAAGAATATGGTGATATATTTTATTGGATCAGCTGAACAACACTTCTAAAATATATGACAGAGAATTCAGATACATGACCTTGTGACAATCCATGGGATTCTGTTAAATAGGGACCATGGGATTATAAACCCTTGTAAAGTCCTTTTGCTCAGCATGTTATTTATTGCAGCACTTAACCACTGCAACCAGGTAGGAAAGAAGAGAATTTTCTTAGAAACAAAGACTTTTTGAGTTAATATGTACAGTATTTGCCTCCTTGTGAATTTTAAGCTCAACCAAAAACTGAGTTTCTAGCCCTTATGGCTAGAAAGATGGGTTTGAAAATGTGTTGATGTTGCCTGGTGAAATTTTAGCACCCTGGTACTGTTCACTGATGCTATTCCTGAACAGTAAAACTAGAATTAAATGATGCAGAATGGTAAACCTTGCAGAATAAATCATATAGTTTTAAAAGTAAAAATGCCAGTTTGTGGTGTGCGATCTCAGACATGCTTTCCCGGGAACAAACGTCATTTCATTTATGAGCCAAGGTACATAGAGTTGGAATATTATATAGGCTGCAGAATGTGAATTCATTAATTTCTTTAGCAAAAGTGTACTGGCATGCATTAATGGATTCTGTTGGAAATGGCAGGTGGTAAACATCTAACAAATCCAGGAAGTGCTGCCTTCATGGAAATTTCTGGGAGTATCTGAATACCCTGATGGTTATTTTGCTTTAAAGAAATAAAATGCATTTGTCAAAGTACATTTATAACCCCACCTGGGTGTAGTTTTATGATAAGTAAAAATAACCTTTATTCATATGCATGAAATGAGGGTAGGTCAGCATTCACAGACAGGATCTTCGAAGTCTGGATTGTCTTTGTTACAGGGGTGCACTTTGGTTTTGTATCTAGGTAGTTATCAAAATAGGAGGCAATCTTTCAGTCACTAACAGTAATTTAGGCTGCCATCCTGTGCCCCAGAAATATGCCTGATTAAGCCCACTGAGATTCACTTTTGAGTAGACATGGCTGAGATGGTTGCATAAGAAAATTAATAAATTAAAGATGACCTGTTTTGCATTTCTTTGTGTTAATATGACTAATATACTTCTGCTTTTGTTTTTTAGTTTACAGATATGTCATCCAGTAAGAAGCCTAGATGCCTGTATGTATGTCATTTCATATCCTTTATAAACAACAATGTTGCTGATCAGAGTTTAGAAGTAACTAGTAGCAATTAGCTAGCTGCTTGGAATTAATTCTTTTTCCCAATAATGGTGGAGTAAATGCATTACATTACAGCTGTACCTTAACAAGAAAAAACTCCTTTTACAGTGTTTTGTAACATTTTATTTGCTTTTAGATGTATAAAATGAGTGAATTGGAAGTATTTTTGTGACCACATAATGCAAAGACTGATTTAAATGGATCCAGCCCTTTTAGCTCCCAAAGCATGTGTTTTGGGTTTTTTTGTTTTTGCCACAAAGGGCTTCTACTTTTTCAAGCCAGAATGATTTGAACAGGCTTTTTCCTGTGTAGTTAGTTGTGGTGTGTTCTTGCAAAGACAGGGACTAGTTTGTAGGTAGTGTTTCAGTGATGGGGGCAGTTTGGGCGTGATGTTTGGGACTGGAGGTGCATGCCCCTGCATTCTTTCCTCTCCTCCAGTTGTCCTCCGAATTTTTTAATTTGTTTTTTTAATTTCCCACATACATAAGATTAATGCTAGATCACCCTATCACTTTATTGTTGGGTCATCGTTATTATTATTTCATGTATTTACACCCTCGTCAGTTCCCAATCAGATTGGCAGAGGCAAGAATGATCAGCAGAGGTGGGACCAGAGGAAGGAAGGAAAGAAGGGAGGGCTGTGGGCTTGAAGGTGAATTGCATTGTATCTGGTATGAAAGGCGAACTCCCAAATCAATTGATGGCTCCTATGTGAGCACAGACTGCAATTTCAGACGTAATACAGGCTGCGAATCAAATTTCAGCAAAGTATAGTCACACCCTTGGTGAAGGAAGAATAGTATGTGGTCCAAGTGCTAGTTTGGCTATGCCTTATGCTTCTGCCTTGTTTGGATGTTTGTTGGCATGATGACAAACTGGATTCAAGAGAGACTGCATTTTGTGTTGCAGGCCAGTGGCTTCAGTGTTGTATGTTGGCCAGTATGATGTTTCACAGCTCTGCCAGTGCACCAGAAGTGACATCAATGCGAGCAGTGGGTGGCCACTATTTATAGAGCCCCTGCTTCAATTCAGGGTTGTGCACTACTTCAACTCAATGTGCATAACCCAAAATCAAAGCAAGAATTCTTCCATTAATGGGAATCTGCCACTCCTGGTGACAACATTCCTTCATACTATTCAAGCTACAGAACAGAATACCGGCTGTTGTTTTTGAACAGTAATTGAAAAATAATGGTTTAAGTTGCTTTTGGGGAAATAGAAAAGTAAAGGCATTTTAAATTGAACTTTTGTATTTTCATTGCTGATGTTATCTTTAATTTTTTTACTGTTTCTATCTACTGATTTTAATATTATATTTGTTTAATTATTTATTTATATTGGAACAATTTATTGTTTTAGCTTTTATAAGCCACCTTTTTAGGAAGTAGGTGGCAGGTACTTTAAACAAAACAAAATAAATAAGGATTACTTCTACTTATGTAACTATAATGGCAATTAATTGCTTTAATTTTGCTCTTCAACTAAGTTACTTTTAAAGTAACTTTCCAAACATTGTCAAGTAATATTACTGGCAATGTGCTGCTCAAAGTATACATCAGTTAAGCTAGATTTACCAGGTTCTCCTTAAGTTTGATCTTGCTTTTCTCTTCCTTCTTAGCAGCAGCCGAGGAGCTCAGCATGCTTTCTACAACACCCCTGATGTGAAACCTCACTCTTTCCAGAAAGGACGGATGCACCTAAAGAAAGCCAAGGAGGACAAAATCTGTGCCCATCCCGTAAAATTGTTTTATGAACCTGTTGACTGCTCAAGGGACATTTGGAGACCTCAGAAGAAAGGGGACGCGATGAATGCTGCCCGAAAGGTTAACGCAAAATCCAAAATCAGTAAAAAAAGCAAACAGCACTATTAAGAGACCATGTACATTATAAAGATATATAGAAAGAAACGAATATATGTATCTAATCTAACTATTTACAGACATATAGTTTATGCTTTGGTAGCACTAAGCTACCACCTGTAGAGGACAAGAGCACAAGGCTGTGCATGCCTACTTGAAAGTCCGCACCATTGAAATCAGCAGGATGTATTTCTCTTAAATAGATGCACCTAGTGTTGCAACCACGGTTTAATCACTATATATTTCCGAATTCACTTGGGCAATGACTTGATATATTTAATAGATAATATTCCTGCATAAATTATTAACTGCTTCTTTTCCAGCACTTTGGTTGTTTATGTGAGATGGCACTTTATTTTCTTTCTTTCTTTCTTTCTTTCTTTCTTTCTTTCTTTCTTTCTTTCTTTCTTTCTTTCTTTTGCAAGAGCTTACTCAGCCTTTCAATCTGTTGTGTATCTGTTTGGAGCATCATCACCCTGGATACTAGTTTTGGCAGGTGACACTTTGTTGTAAGTCTGTTTGCTGCTTAAAGTCAGAGGAATCCCTTCTACCTGGCAACTTGATAAATTTACTCTCTTTCATTTATGGTGGAATTAATAAATCAGGAATAAGCTGAGAGGTTCGTGATTCCACAGTTTCTGGATTTCCAGGTCTCAGATGCCTTACCCAGGAGGGTCAAATAAAAGGAAAAATGGGAGGTGTACACAGTGCAAACCATCTACAGATTTGTTTCCCTGCCACTGAGATAAACCTACTCTGAACAGAGTGTGTTCTTTTATTCACAAGGCACAAAGAGCATGATGGTGTGTCTGCAGGACCCCGGCAACGGTGAGCAATCTAACTAAGTAACCCCCTCCCCACCTCTTGCCCCCTAAGATAGGTGTGTGGGGGACTTGTCTGACAGCAGCTGGAAGCTGTGTTCCCTGGGTGACCAAGCAAGCAGTGGCTTGTGTTAGAGCGGTTCCTGCATTTGCCTGCTGGGAGAAAACGGTGCTGATCTGTGCAGACAGCAGGAGATTATCAGTGGGAGGAAGGCTCGGGACTCAGCCTCAGTTCCCTTCCTGTGGTTATTGCAGTCTGCTTCTTCCAGTGATGCAGATAGCACTGCAGGAGAGCACCGTTGGGATTTAGTTCTGTGTTATAAAGCAGGGTCAGCCTAAGCCATCCCCTGCCTAAGATATACCAGAAAATGTGCCCCTCCCCAAATTGTCTAGGTTGCATAGTACCCAGAGCCAGCTATGTTTTGGGGGTACATGAGGTACAAAATCCTACAAGGATCTTTCTCTGTCCCAAGCAGTAAAATATTAAATCAATAGCTGTTCTCTGTCCCTGCATGACAACCCAAATCTGCTGCCTTAATTGACTGCATAATTTTGCCTAGTGGTCTAGCTGGCCCTGCTTTGAAGGCCAGTGCAAATGCAGCTCTTTATGTATCTCATATTTGTATATTGCCTTTCCTCCAAGGGGTTTATGTAGAAGCTTGTTTGTTTTCTCCTCCTAAGGTGAGCAGAGGCAGAATGATTAGGCCAGTGATAGCTAGGGACCTTCGCAACTCAATGAAGACCTCAAACGGAAGTTTCCCGGCCCCAAAGCCATGCGCCTTGCCAACAACATCCACATTGAATTTATATATTATATTAATGATCTTCAATCATTAAACAATTTCAGATTGTTCGTGAATTGGAAATCAAACAAGAAACATACTTTGAAAACAAAAGGAAGGAATTTTTTTTTAAGTTAATACTCAAGCAACTTGCAGAACTTTAGGGTGGGGGAAATTTATGGACACCTCCTTTTTGCAGCCCTAGCTCATTGCAGACAGTACATTAAAGAAAAAAACTACAGATTGTAAACTCATCTTGGCACCCCCTGGTTCAGTTCCAGTTCATCCCTGGAACTGGCCTTGAATGCTATGCCATGGTTTGTTTTTCCATACAGTTCATGACTGTACCTGTCACATATAGAATGAGGTTTGTTCCCCGCAGAGCATTAAGGGTTATGTATGCTAGAGAAAGCAAGGATATGTCCTAGTTCCCACTGTGCTGCAGTAGCACCACTTCCAAATACAGGTGAAGAACTCACACAGTGGAACACTCCCCACAAATTGTTAAAGGAAAAAAAGAACTGCTCCACATGTAACACTGTCATGTTAGAAGCATATAGGATATGGTAAGGCAGTACAGAAAAGCACTGAAATAATATGTTTAAGAGACTGAAACAATTCCCCTGTGAGAAGGGAATTTTTGGGGGGCTCAAAATAAAAAAGTGGGTAAAGGAAGCAAGGCAGGGTGGCATCATATCAAGAATGATGTGGAAAAGGTGGGTGGGGAAAAATTCTCTCAAACTGTTGGCATCATCTGCTGAAGATGAATGGTGGGCAGTTCAGGAGACAGAAAAGGATGTATTGATGGCACACCAACGCAGCTTTTGAAGGAGGCGAGACAAATTCAGGGATGTTGGTAAATCTTTGGATCAGAGTCCCAAGTCTTTGGTAACAAGAGTTGAGTCAAGTCTTTGTTCCCAAGTCTCAGGCCTCGAGTTTGAGTCCCAAGTCTTGGATGGAGGCTGGGAGAGGACATGTGCATGAGCATGTTCAGAAGCAGCAGTTCTGGCTTCCCTTCCCAGAGCAGGCCTTTGTCTCTGCGCATGCTCGGAAGCAGTGGGCCTGGCCTCTGCCCCCCCACTGCCTACATGCTCCTGCCATTGCCTCCCTGCTCCCCCGCCGTCCCCCATTGCCTACCTGCCACACTGCCATCGTCTACTGCTTACTGGTTCCTGCTGCCGCCGCACACCACTGTCCTCAGAAGCAAGCAGTAGGCTCAGCTTCCCTTCCAAAAACGGCCCGCAGCCATTCATTCCTAAGAGCTTTACCTCCATCTAAACTAGCACAGGGCAAACACAAATGTGCTGCCTCAGTGAGGACTAGACCTATGTTTCCTTGTCTTCCTAGTGGCACCAGTGAATGCATTTGGCTGCTATTGTACAAACGCTATCATTCAATAATAGTATTTTTTCACAACATTAGATTTCGATTCTTTGAGGACTCAAAGTGGTGACGGGGACCTCCGGAGTCTGTGGAGATTTTTAAAGATTTGTTTTTCGCCGTGGCCAGCAAATATGGCTCCTCTGTTTGTCCAGAAGAGTTCACAGGAAATAGAAAATTTTAGGGAGGCAAAGCTGAACGTAATGCTGATGGTTAAAGGTACATTTCAAAATTAGGTACAATCTTTTTTTAAAAAAACCTCAAACTAAATTGGACTTTATATCCAGTTAATTTATAGAATTTAAATAAATGTGCAGATTTCTAACACTTAAATGAAGGTTTCCTTTTGACATACTGAAGGAAGGGAGATATGAAGCTGTGAAAAAAAGCTTACAATTTAAGGAAGAAAAATAGTTACAAATGAAATAGAGTGTAAAGCCAGCTTAACTTTTATTTTTACTTTCGATAACAGGAAGAACGCCAGAACTAAAATAGCACCATTTTTTCTAAAAAAGTAATTCTCTTCCCTACTTATTAGAATTTGACCTTTCCAGTTACAACTGTTCCCCATTTATAGATAAATAAATAAATGCACAAACTAAACCTTTGTTGATTAATCTACCCATTTTTCTGATTAAAGCTTAGAGTAGAAGCGAGGTACTGTACATCCTAAGAGAGAGATAGAGAGTATCATTATTTTTTATTTTTTGCTAAGAAGTAATCAATAATATCATTTCAGATTATATTATTTCCTTTGTGGTTGATTATTCTTCAGGATTGACTTGTTAAACTTTTATTTTAATCCCTTATATAACTATTACAGGGCCTTGCTGGCTTTTTGAAATGACTGCACTTAATTGTTATCTTTGCAGATCTCTGATGTGCTTGTGCAATAATTTTAGAATCTGTTTTCTGGATCTTTTGATTGGTTCCTCTCCCCATGCCAAATTATTGGACTATGTCTTTATGTTTAGGTTTTCCTGTTCTGCACTGATATATGAGGAGCTATCTGTGATGGGATCCATTATCACCCTGTTTATTGACACACACCTGATTCTGTGCAGAGTGTGTGAATTATGATTAGAATGACTGAAGTTGTAGAATAGCCAACTTTGTGAACCCAGAAGCCAAATTCCAGTGCCCCCCTCCCAAAATGTCAAGTGGCAGGGGCAACTCAAGGTTTGGGCTGAGTCCTAGGTAAAGCACACTGTCAAGCAGCTGGCCGGAAGTGGCAGCCAGCAAGTAGCACAGGGTGGCCAAAGGTAATGGATCCAATTTTCCTCAGTGTCTCAGTGCAACGCCACATTATGGGCACTGGGGAACATTAAAAATAATGCCATACTCAAGACACCTGGTGCTGCTCAGAAGATGGAGGTGTGGGGGATTTATAAGGGAAACCTTGAGTAGGCGTCAGTAGCAGACCTTTGGAGCCTGGGCAAATCCAGGATGGGGAGATGCTGATGCCACTATGCAGGGATAGGCAGCTGTAAGAGAAGAGGAGAAGCAAAGAGACAGCCAAACACTGCTTCTTGTTTTCTCTCACCTTGATTTGGAATGAGAGGGAAAGGTGTTCTCTCACCTTGATTTGGAATGAGAGGGATGTCTGCCAGGCTGAAAGAAACTGCATCATACCTTGCGTCTCCATTCTGGTATGGGGAAGAATGGTATCAGCAGAGAAAAATTCAGACTGAATGAATGCAGAGGTTGGGAAAAATTTGTATTTAGAACCTGAACTCTGACTCTCCTGGTTGGGGGGTACTGAGAGTTGTGATCCAAGAAACAAGCTGGCCATTCCTGAGCCTGGGAGAAGTCTTTTAGTGCTGATCCTTTGAAATACAAAACAAGCCTCAGTGGAACTTTCAGTACAGCATATCTGGGCAAGGGTTCTATTGGCTCAAAATGGCCGCAGGTGATTATGTTCCATTGGGACTGTGCCATATGGAGGGATTCCACTTCTATCACAATATTCCTTATTATTATTATTTTTCTGTGTGGATGTGTTTTGGTAATGCTAATCTTCATGCCAGATTAATTGGTACTTAGCATCCCAGCGATGATACAGGTGAAAGTGGATTTTATTTGTCCCAGAAAAGGAAGAGAATAAATAACTGAGCTATGTGTTCATGTCATTTATTTTCAAACACTTTTTATAGGAGGTATAAATGTCTTTGTGTGAGATGGTTTTAGAGTAAGCGTATTGAGAGTCGTGGAAATTGTTACCAGTTTCTTTTTCTTTTTCTGAAAAAAATAACAGTTGCATTTGTTTTTTTAAAAAAAACAGAAGTACACTTTATTATGATTGTGGCAATAAAAACAGGGTTTATAATATTTAGCAGAGGTAAAATACAGGTAAGAGCATTTGGTGTTGTATAAATAACCCCAGCTGTCCTTTGGTGATTAAACAATCTATTAGATTACTGTTTTATTTTATAATGTAAAGGGAACAGTTTTTGTATGCGTTCACCTTTCATAATGCTGCTTCAGTTGACAGTACTGTATTTATAAAAGGCTGGCTCATTCATGCTTGTTGACATCCCTTGATAAAGTACAGCTTTGTGATGCTTCCCATGTGATATTGGTTTATCACTGGTCTGACCCCACAGATAGGGCTTTCAATTCACCTCACAGCACTCCAGACTAATATTTTTCAGTGGAATAAATCCATACATAGAGCACTAAGTAGAGCAGCCGTACACTGAATTCCTTCATGCCTTCATGAAGGGGCATTCAAACATACATAAAAATACGGTTTTGTATTACGTGAACACAGCACACCTCCCCCCCCCCACCCGAAACGCTTGCATGTTCCTCTTTCTTGGATGTCAGGCATTCAGATGCTTTGGCCCTTTCTTCCAGAAAGTGGCCTGTAAGAGAAATACATCTTAAAATACCTACATACATAAACAATTTTTAAAGTTAAAGTGGGGAAAACCTGTGTGCCTCCAGAGCTGTGTTTTAGAGGTTCCACAGTGAACTTGTGGGGAAATGCGCAAAGCCCTGTCTGTCATTCTGTTGCTATGACTGGAGCACCTCTGTTTGGGCGGGCAAGATAGTTTTCAGCTCCTGAGTCTTCCCAGCAGCATTATGTACTAGCTGGTGGCTGCAACTGTCTGCTCCTCATGCCTTAGATAGTGCTGGCACTGTGCCCTCCAATTGCTGCTCTTCCATGGTTCCACAGTATCCCCAGGGGAAAGAATCCTACAGAGGGAAATGCACTACCTAGGAACCACAGCCAGGTAGCTGAGGTTAATAGGAGGTGACATTTCCATCCCTGTGGGTGAGACTCCTCCTCTTGAGCAGCAGCTCCATATACAGCTTCTGCCCATTGACTGAAATACTGGGATAGAGTGATGATGTCCAGTGCCCAGCCGGAGCCCTTAGATATTCTTGTTGCTTCAGGTGTAGCCATCAGCTGTGCATGATAAAAGGACATTTTTGGCTGATGTCCTGTGCTTTGTACAGAATTTAGGATATTTTTTTTTAAAAGTTAATGCATTACATTACTGTTAATTGTTTTTTTAAAAAAATAGGATATTATTTACTACTTCAAACTATATTTGATTAATATTTAATCTGGGGAAGGAGATTAAAAATAGACAAGTGGCTAAATCTCTCTGCACCCTACCAACATTTTGGAAGCAGTGACTAAAACTTACTAATTTCAAATAAAAACTGTAACAAAGATAATAGTCATTAAGTTATTTCATAAAAGGAACTTTGTTGTGCTCTTGTTAATCGTCCACCATAACACTTTCCAAGTGACTGTTACTTGTAACATATGACTTCTAGATTCTGATCCTGTGTAATGCATCATTCTGCAAGTATAATCAAGTTCAGAGAAAACTAGTGATTTGCATGCATGGCTGAGCCAGCCTTAAATGGTAACAAAATCTGGTATTTGTTTTGCTTTCTAGATGACATTTTGCCATGTCACATATGTGCAGGTGAAAATAATTGTGTTGCATGTTCTTATGTGATAAGAACTTTCATTTGTAAACCTAACCGCCTGAAACTATTTAAGTGTTTCTTCTGCTTTGCACTAGATTTCTCTACAAATGTGTGGAAAATTACGGCCCGTATTTTAAGAAGGGATTGAGGATAGGGGAATCATCAAAGACCTTTGGGCTGGAATTGCATGTACAAGTGAAGCAAAAAGCACATGTAAGAACAGACGTTCCATGTTGGCTTCCATCCTTCTTCATTCAAGATTTTTTAACTCGCTTTGCTGTATGCCCTGCCTTTTTACAATGCATATTTCCATACCCCTGCTCTACAGCACTGGCTGGAAGAGACAGGAAAATTCACATCATAATAACATCACAAAATGAGGTAAGTTGAACTAGATGTGGAACTTGAAACAAGAAGACCATATTGGGCAGCAGTCACATATCTGTTATAACATGTAATTCTACCATGTCATCCTTGCTGGTTTCTTTGCTTAGTCAAGAATGAGATCACCTTCTGAGTCTCAAGAAATTCAGCTACAATGTTTTATTATCATTCCATAGTCACTGAAGACATTGTGTAAATGCATATGGATATGATGATTAGTTCCCATCTCATTTTAATTTACTAGTTCCTTTTTTTCCAATAGGCAGCATGTGCCATTTCCCCTGTTCCTGAGCTAGTCCAAACTGTAATATGCTGAATCAATCAGTTACAAAGCAGTTGGAATGCACTGTAACTCCAAACAGAAAAAAAAGAAGTTTTAGACTATTAAAAAAAAAACTAATAAAGAGTATATTTCTCAGTGGTTGTATTGGTGAATTATGTAATAACTGCATAATGGTTTCTAAACCACACTACCAAATGCCTTTGCGCGCTATCGGTTACCTGAGTTCCAGCATGGCAATTGCCATTAATGTGGTGACAATCCAGCAGAAGAGAAGAATGGGAATAGAACTGGCCAGTTCCTTGTCCCCATTCTTTCTTGCTCCACAGTAATGTGCCCCTGTCCTCTGAGGTCCATGCCAAATCTTTTTGCTGCCTGAGACACAGCAACAACCCCCCCCCCCCAGCCACTACCTGTCCAAAATCACTTCGTCCATTTACTGGAGGCCTGGTTATTTTGGCACATGAGGCAGGAATCCTACAAGCAAGCCCTCCCCCCCCCCGGCAGCAAAAATAGAAGAACTTCTTTGTTTTGATGGTAGATCTGGCCCTGGCCTCCTCTTGCAGCCCAAAGCTGTGTATGGCATTGCATTTGAGCCTGGTGTATCCTGAGAGGGTGCTGGTGGCTTGCAGAGAAGGAAGGGGGCAGGAGTTGATGAATGTTGATCTATCTCCTCTCTTTCTCACCAGTTTCTCTACTTCAGCACACAGAGAATCTGCCCTTACAAGCAAGGGCTGAATTATGGGCAATAAGAAACACTTGGGCAAAGTCACAGACCAATGGTGGGTACATTTATTTGACTGCTAAAATATAGAAACACACAAGTTTTCAAGTCCTGCAAGCCTCTTCTGAAGGCTGGGCACTGCAGAACTTACAGGGAGAAGGAGAGCATTATTGAGCAAGCTTTGGAACACCTAGCCCATTGAGTACCATTGAATTGCCTAGATTCCACAAAAATTCTCGAAGGAGCCACCTTGTGCATTGAAATGTTATATTGGAATGTTAGTTTGCCTCTCTTTCAAAGCAGAAAGCTACAGATAGTGTAACTGCTTTTGGAAACATGACCTTGATCTGTGTCTAGCTTCTTGTCCTCAGTTTTACCTTTTAAAATTCATTCAGAAAAATAAAAGTCAGCCCTACCCTCATTTATAGCCTGCATAGTTTTAGAAAAGAAAAAATTGACCCTTTAGAATTACAACACCATACTTCTAATGCACAAAATGGGCCAGCAAGCCAGAAGTCAGGCCTCACTGTCCTTTCCTCACAAACCTGCTTTGCCGGGAATTAAAAAGTTGACTGGATACAGACACAGCCTTCACTCTGGGAGGGGCTAAGATGAAGACAGCCCTAGATGGCAAACAGAAGAGAGCTCAGTGGCCTTCAGTCTCCTGTCAGCTGCAGAATGTCTTCTAAAACCAGAAATCAATTGGTGACTAGCTAGGTACATCAAAGTCTGAGATTCAGACATTGAGGAGTAGAGGTGGTGCCTGGGAGCTAAGAGGCGGCACTTGGCCAATCTGGGGTACTGTACTTGGCCAAAAGGGACAAGGGGTTGCACATGACTAGTAAGTAAATAATATGGCCATGCTTGGCGACTTAAGGTGGAGCCTGTCGATGTGGGTCAGGGGGCAATGTTAAGCAGAGAATTGCTTTCCTATTGATTCTGACCTGTCCCTTTGAGATGTTAGCTCCTCCATAAGCTGCTTTTACTCTCAGGTTATATATGTAGTATTGTACTTTGACCTTTGAATTGGGTTTCATAGAAGTACAGTGGAACCTCGATTTACGGAATTAATCCGTGTTGGAACGGTGGATGCAAGTCAAAAAGTCGGTAGGTTGAGTGTCCATTTCCCATAGGAAAGCATTTCGATGCACTCCTATGAGGGGGGAAACCCACACACCAAAAAATGAAAATAAACACTGTAGACCTTATCTTTCTAAAGCCTTCCAGGGGTCCCCCACCACCACCATCACCGCTATCCTAAACCACAGAGGGATTCCCTGCTGCTGCCAGAGGCCTCTCGGAGGTCCCCTGCCCCCGCTGATGCAGGCTTTCCCAGGGTGGACCGGGCCTATCAGGGGAGGGTTTCCCCCAGTAGGCCCGGTCTACTCCCCGGGAAGCCCTGGAGGGGGACCTCCAGGTGCCTTCCAGGGCTTCTCCACCAGCATGGGAGGCCTCTCGGAGGTCACCCCCCCCACCGCTGATCGTGCTTCAGAGGCACAATCATTGGCAGGGGGGACCTCCAAGAGGCCTCCCATGGCAGCAGAGAAGCCCTGGAAGGCATCCGGAGTTCCCCCTGACCGCCGATTGTACCTTTGGGAGGCACAATCGGCAGCGAGGGGGACCTCCGGAGGCCTTCTCCACCACCATGGGAGGCATCTCAGAGGTCCCCTTGCCACCGCCGATCATGCCTCCGAAGCACGATCAGCGACGGGGGGGTGACCTCCGAGAGGCCTCCCATGGCGGCGGAGAAGCCCTGGAAGGCATCCGGAGGCACGATTGGTGGCCTACGAACTGGAAGGGGGAGCCGGGGAAAGCGCCAAATTTGAATTCGGCTCTTTTCCCACCTCCCCCTTCTGGTCCGTAGGTCGATTCTCCAGCCACAAGTCGAAGGGAAATT